AACCCCTCACCTCACTACTGAGGAGGCCCAGGAGGCTACTTCCAGCAGAGGTGTCAGTAAAGCCAGTTGCTATCGAATTGATTGTGGATATTTGCAAGGCAGCTGCCAGTCTCTGCCTCAGATAGGGAAGGCAGCTAAGACAGACACCTTGAAGGAAACAATGGGCTATGAAAAGTGTTTCTGTTACATATGTAAATTTATCCATAATGATTTCAAAAATGATGAAGCTTGAAAACACAGACAGCGATTTAAGAAAAATGCATAGTACATTTTTGGCAGAAAGAAGTTTGATATCTCCATATATATATATATACAGAGATATAAATATATAAACAATTCCCCCCCCCCAAAAGATAGCATCTCAATAGAAAAGTAAACTGAAGGTATGAACAGGGAACTCAAAAAAGAGATACAAAAGGAACAGCAAAGATAGGGAAACAGATGAAGCCTAAGGAGTAATTATCGGAGTACATTTTTAAGCCTCCTTCTCCTTATAAACCTTATTTTAACTGGCCTGGTTCAAGTCATGTTCTTGGTTTTCTTTTCCTGTGTTTTGCAAGATCAGTAGTTCAAACCCCACAGCAATCTGTTCCTGTAAAGATTTACAGCCTCAGAAACCCCATGTGGTCACTATGAGTTGGCATCAACTCAGTGGCATCAGGTTTGGTTTTTGGGGTTCATTGCAAGTAGGGGGTGCACATTGGTCAACTATGTGAAAGGGAATTTGGCAATGGGTAACACACTAAATATAAGTGTTCTTTTGACCAAGAAATTTAACCACTGGAAGTGTGTATTCAACAGATATTAAGATAAGTGCTGAAAAAAATGTAAGCACCAAGATATTTGCTGAAACATTGAAAAAGTGAAACACTGGAAACTGCAACTGTAATATGACAGGGGAAGCAGGCTAAACTCCTCCCTGCCCTCCCCCTGCTTTAACCCCACAGCACAATTTATGCTAAAGAGATAAAAGTGACGCCTATGTTTTTATTGATATGGTAAGATGCATACATTACCCTATGTATAGAAGGAGGCTCTGGAATGGTGCCAATAAATTATACATTTACAATAGCACGCATTTTTGCATAGTAACAAATATCTAACAGAATACACATAGAAATGTTCATAGAGGTTAGCTTTGCATCAAGGGATTATGTGTGATTCTTTCTCCTGTTTGCTATGACATATTTAGTTTTTTTCCCTAAAGTGCATGAGTACTATGTATCTAACTTTTCTTTTTTTTTTCTTTTTAATCATTTTATTAGGGGCTCATACAACTCTTATCACAATCCATACACACATCAATTGTGTAAAGCGCATTTGTACATTCATTGCCCTCATCATTCTCAAAACATCTCCACTTAAACCCCCAGCATTAGGTCCTCATTTTTCCCCTCCCTCCCCGCTCCCCCCTTCCTCGTGAGCCCTTGATAGTTTATAAATTGTTATTTTGTCATATCTTGCCCTGTCCGACATCTCCCTTCACCCACTTTTCTGTTGTCCGTCCCCCAGGGAGGAGGTCACATATAGTTCCTTGTAATCAGTTCCCTCTTTCCTGCCCATTCTCCCTCTACGCTCCCTGTTTCACCTCTCACACCACTGGTCCTATAGGGCTCATCCGCCCTGGAGTCCCTGTATTTTCAGCTCCTATCTGTACCAGTGTACATCCTCTGGTCTAGCCAGACTTGCAAGGTCGAATTCGAGTCATGGTAGTGGGAGCGGGGAGGAAACATTTAGGAACTAGAGGAAAGTTGTATTTTTCATCATTGTTACATCGCGCCCTGACTGGCTCATCTCCTCCCCGAGACCCCTCTGCAAGGGGATCTCCAGTGGCCTACTAATGGGCTTTGGATCTCCACTCCGCACTCCCCCCATCATTCACTATGGCAAGATTTTTTTGTTCTGATGATGCCTTATACCTGATCCCTTCGACACCACATGGTTGCATAGGCTGGTGTATCTAACTTTTCAAAGAGCAGTCTGGAGAAAATTTAAATCATACTAATGTTAGTATCTTGATGCTTTAAAAATGATCAGGACACATTGCTTCTTTTGTTGTCAGAACATATTGCTTCTCAAAATCCCATTATAGAAAATATAAACTTCATGAATTTGATGGGCCCATTCCTGACACCTTACTTAGTAACAACTTCTCCAAATGCCACATTCATTATTACACAGTTCACTACTACATTATTCCTTCAATAATAATTTTTTCAGCATGTGCTATATAAGGAAATAGAATATATATGTAAATATATGTGATATGTATGTATATGATGTAAGTGTGTGTTTGTGTGTGTATTTAAGATCTTGAAGTTCCTTAGGGTAAGTTCAAGAATACACATAAACAAGCAGCTGGTGTGCTGTGGGTTAGGCATTGGGCTGTTAACCAGAGAGTCAGTGGTTCAACCCCACCAGCTGCTCGGTGGGAGAAATGCAAGAATTACCATCTGGGAAATCATAAGGGACAGTTCTTCCCTAGCCTATAGCGTCGCTGTGGGCATCAGAACCCACTCCAGGGCAGTGCGTTGTTTAGGATTTCTGGTAAGAGTTGGATGTCAGAGAGGCTCTGAAACTTGCTCTTAGATGTAGAGTACTTCATACCAAAGATTGACGCTGTCAAGAATTTCATCCTGCTTGAGGATCCACAATCAATGCTTCTGGAAGCAGCAGTCAAGAGATCAAATGACATGCTGCATTGGGTAAATGCTACATGAGACTTTTTACGGTGTTGAAAAGTAAGGAAGTTACTTTGAGGACTAATGTGCACCTGCCTCAAGTCATGGTATTGTAAATCAGCTCATATGTATGTGAAAGTTGGCCCTTGAGTAAGGAACACTCAAAAAGTGATGCATTTGAATTATGGTGCTGGCAAAGAATAGTGAAAGTATGCTGGGCTGCCAAAGGGACAAACAAAGCTGTCTTGGAAGAAGTATGGCCAGAGTTCTCCTTAGAGGCAAGGATAGTAAGACTTTGTCTTACATACTTTGGACATGTCAGGAGAGACCCATCCCCATAGGAGGACATCATGTTTGATAAAATAGAAGGACAGAGGGGAAAAAAGGACAGCCCTCAAGGAGATGGCGTGATACCATGGCCGCATCAATGGGCTCAAGCATATGGACAATTTGAGGATGGTGCAGACCAGGCAATGTTTCATTCTGCTGTGCAAGGCTCACTGTGGGGACTG